TCTGCACTCTTCCTTTTTTTTTTTTTAACTTTTGTAACCCCGAATCCAATAAACAGAATGGAAAAGAGGAAAAGAGCAACATCAGCAGCCTCGTTCACCGTCTCTGACTCCCTCTCTCTCGACCTCACCTTCTACTTGAGAAGGGAGGGTGGCGAGCACAGTCTCTCATATGTAGGAAAATTCCCGCCCCCCCCCGACTTTATTTTGTCCCCACCCTTTGACCAACTGCCACACCATCACGAGCAGGCTTGTCAGCGGTGGCGGCAATGGCAGCAGCTGGAAGTTTCCAACTGCCGACCAGAGCAAAGGTCACGCTATTTCTGGCCTGGTGGCCAAGCCACAGGAAGGGCAGCCGGGACGCCAGGGGGGTTGGGGATTTCTGCAGCACCTTCAGAGGGAGCATCTCAGGTTTTAACTACTTGAGAGGCTGGGGCAGGGGGGAGGTTCACTAAGCCTACCTGCTCACCCCACAGTGCCCGGGTCCCTCCTTCAGCCCCACATCCCTGTCCTCGAAGCAAACTATAAACACAATGGAGCTTCATGGGGGCCCAGAAGGACACCAACATGGAAACTGGTTGCTTACAGGAGCTCCTCACAGATTCTCAGCAGATCTGCTGACCCCAGGACTCAGCAGCAACCACAACCCAACACCCCATAATCAAAATTCAAGAACAGAGCCACCGCCCAACTCAAGGCAGCCGGTTTCTGACCACCTCCCGATTTAACTACCAATGGCTCAACTCAGAGGAAAAACAAATGGCTTCTCCAGTTTCTTTAACTGTTCCCACACCAGACCTGCTTTTCTTGCAGACCTTAACATAAAAGAAGGACTGTTTGGTTCGGTTTGCAGATGAACCACACAAGAAGGGCCAAGAAAAGCCTTGAAGCCCAAGACTGCTCCTGAAGCCACATCAAGCTTTGGGCCACATTCAGATCAGGACTTGGGGCCACACGCCGCCCAGGCCCAGGACTTTCATCTGCATGAGGGAGGATATGCCCTCAAAGGGCACCTGGGTTTCCCCTCCCACCTGCCCCCCATGTGCCCATGTCCCTTCAAAGTGAGCCCTCTTGTGTGCAATCTTTCTTGGGCAGGGAGCTTTGCAACCCGCCCAAGTGACTCTGGTCATTCATCCTCCATCACTGTGTCAATGGTCCTTGTCCAGTTTGCATTCATACACTTGTGATCACTTGATTATTTTGTGGCAGGCTGTCAGGCTGCCAGGCTGTCAGGTCTATTTCTCCGCTAGGTTATGGGTCAGCACCTAGCGCAGAACCTGGCACAGAAGAGGCACTTCATAAATATCTGTATTCTTTTAAAAAGTGCAGTGCCTGTGCCATCCTTAAATTATTCAAAGCCACAGTTGTGAGAATGCATCGATATTTAAGTAGCTCATTGCAACCAGAAATAATACAGAGCACCAGTTAGATAACCTATGGTAAACCCTGAAGTAGAATATTATGAAGCAGTTCAAAAGAATGGGGTAGTTCTCTGTATACTGACATGCATGAAGAAATCACCAGATTTCCTGTCGAGGGAAAGAGCTAGTCACAAAATAATTTGTAAAAATAAATAATAAAATTGTATAAACATAATTAAGTGATTATATAGGAAAGATACATAAACACCAAACTCTTAATAGTGGATTTCTCAAAAGATGCAGGACTGGAAAAAACATTCAGCTTCGAGATGTTATATCCCTGTGTGAATTCTTTTATACCATACGTTATCGAGCACGTCATGCTTAGCTATTCAGATCCCCGCTTGCTGTGGGACCAGTAGCAAGTTACATAACCTCTCTGGGCCTCCATTACTTCATCCATACACCTCCAATAAAACAGTAGCTGTGTCTTGAGACTGTTACGAGGACCATGAGTACTAATGTGAGCTATATAATACATGGCACCGGTGCCTGGTTCAAAACCAGTGTTCCATAAATAGCAGCTATTATTACTATCATTATGTATGATCTCTACAACCAAATATACAAATATATATAAAATTTGTCTTTTGAAAGTCAATTGGTGATAACTGCGAGAGAAAAGAATCCAAGTTTTGGCAAAGTCCTCTGTCTGGCTTTGGATCCTCACGTTAAATAGGAAATACAAGTATTGCCCCACGGACAAACATGCTGAGAAGGAATTAACGGCTACCCCAAAACCTGCCTGTTTTCCTAAGAGCTCCTCAGCGAAGGCCCCGCAGTTCTCACTTTAACGCCTCAGCCAGGGTGTGGCTGAAAGCTTTCTGTCATCTGCTCTGCGATTTTCCCTGAGATAACCCAGGAAAGCAAACTGCTCCATCCGGGCTCTGCGTGCTGTGAGAAGCTTACCAAGGCAGGTCCCCGGCTCTCTCTCAGTGCTCGCTTCCCCAGAGAGCCTGCTGGGGACCCCGCTGCTGGGAGCTCAGAGGGCGAAGACACATCAGCCTGGCTTGGGCCCTCACCTTCCCGAAGGCCCCAGTGCTTACCTGCACGGTCAGGTAGAGCCTGTGGGGGCTCCCAGGGCCGGCCCAGTCCACACTGAGGGCCCGGCACTGAGCTAGGGCCGGGCGAGCTGCGCTTCGGGCACTGGAGTCCTCGTCACCGCTGACTGGGGTATCTTTTCCACGCCCTGTTCCGGGACAGAGAGTATGGGTAAGATGCTAGGCCCCTGGCTGAAGACCGCTGGCCAGGGCCCTGGCTGAGTTCTGCTTCCCCACACTCCGGGCCGGCCCAGGCGCGGCCAGCAGGGACTCACACGCCCTCACACGCCTGACCTACTCAGAGGGAAGGCCTGGCACCAGGCAGGGGCTGTGCTCCTTTCTTCCCAAAAGCCACCCCAAGCTTCTCCTCAGGAAGGCACCCAAGGCCTCCGGGGCAGGAGGGGTGCTCCCCGCCCTCCACAGTGGATTTTGGGGCTGGCGCTCGTTCATGAACACCCTCTACAGAGAGCAGCAAAGGGAAGCCGACGCCAACCTGGCTGTGCCAACCTTCACAGGAGGTGCACCC